CATCAAATGGATTGCAAAGATTGATCTCTTTATAAAAATCAATTCATTCACTACGCTCATTTTAAGATTATTTCATAGATATACCAGTTGAAAGAAGTCCAAAACCTCTTGAAAATAATAGAAAATGGGTGTGATAGATCAGTAAACAACTTAAAAACCACGTGCTCGGTCTTCCATTGAAATTCAAGACCTCGGGCCTTCAATGGAAGACCTCGCACTTGGTTTTTAACCTATATGGAAAAAGTGGCGAAGTTTTTTGGCAAAGAATTATCTACTGGAATGATTGAGCGTATTGCAAACCAGACCACCTTCCGTTCAATGTCCGATAACAACATGAGCTTCAATCCTCCGCTTCGTGCTGTGTCTGGGATGAAGTTTCTTCGTAAAGGTGAAATTGGAGACTGGCGTAATTACTTTACTGACGATCAAAACAGACGATTTGATGATTTGTATGAGAAGAAAATGAACGCTATTGGACTAATAAACTACAATTTGAATAATGTTCAATTTCGACACAGATGAATGATAATCAAATAAAGCCAAATTTGTTGTTGATCATTCTCCAGTTTTTTCGTTTAGTCCTTTTTCACGAAATTCTCATTTGTTTTCCTAGCCCTACCCCACTGATTGACTTTTCACAAAAACGAACCAAGTAATATATTCACTTTTTGACGACTAGAAAACTCACAAGTTTTGTGTGCGATTTTTTGTTTACAGTACATTCAGTAAACAAAACATTTATAATATTATTATCAGAAGTACATAATGGTTACATACTTTACGCCGTAATAAGCCGTTCATTCGAGCTTTTTTCTTTGATGTTAGTTTTCTAAAATACATCAAAGAGACGTGTTTAAAAATTATTTTAATAACAAATTTTAAATTTGAAAGTACAAAATATTTGAAAGTACAAAAAGATTTTTTTTTAAATTGTCATGACTACTTTTAAGCAAAATTAAAATTGGTACTGCTAAGGGGTACAATTAACGCTGAAATTATACTCCTCTTAACCAATGACAAAGTATTATTTTGTTGAATGCACTATAAAAGTTGAAAATATGCAATAACCAAGAGCGCTAATGCCCTATTAAGAGTTACTTAAATGTGTGTGACGTCGTGACCAAGCGTTTTAGCATAAAGTGACGTCACGATAACAAAAAGCGTGACCTGACGAGTTTGAAGTCAAAAACATTTTACTTGTGGCCCAAAATGGAGATCAATGACATCAAAACTGAAATACAAATAAACACAACAGAGGGCTCGTTCAAAAACAAAGATGGAAAAGTTATTTTCACAAGACAATGGTCTCAAAAGGATAAAGCGCCGAGGTAAGACCACAAAATTTACGATTTGAGTATGAGGGCGGACTTTGAAGAGCATGAGAAAAATAACCTGTTGAAAAAGGATCACGCTTTCTGCACCATCAAACATTACACTGAAATACTTAAATAGCAATAATTACATGTAAGGCTTCACTTACTAGTATGAAATATTATGTTGTAGTTAATTTTGAAGTCATATTTAGCGCCTAAGAAATCTGCAATAACTGACACATTTGTTAATATAACGATCACATAGAAGTAAACTTATTCGCACACTTCACAAAAAGCCTTTTTTGTTGCTTTGGGTGTATGGCATCAAATTATTTCAAAAATACAAGAACACTCTATAATTCCTCGTAAAAAAATACACAAAATGGCCAACAACAGAGGACTAAAATGCATTATGTAAATTTCTGAAATCAAATTCAAAATTGCCCTCAAGCGTGTCATCGGATGCATAAATTTTCACATTTTTGGTATTCTTCGACGTTGTCTGCAAAATTGCTTAGGAAATTTTCATGCATAAAAAATTATTAGATACAGTTGCGTTCATGAAAAGAACAGAATATCAAAAATGTCAAGCTATCAGCTGTAGCAGATTCTAATTTTGAGCGCTAAAAAAACCCTGAAAGGTGCAACAGGCGATCGATCAACCTGTATATTTTATAGTATGAAATAATATTTTTCTTGTGGTATTATTTTTTTTTTGGCAGGGCTTTGATAATGATATGTCATGGATTTGGAGAGCACTCTGGGAGATATGCTGATTTTTTGGCACCTGCACTTGTAAAGGAAGGTTTTCTTGTTACAACTCTAGACCATGGTAACCATATGTAATAGTTTTTATTTTAGAAATGATATTCTTGAGTTTTCAAATGGTTGTCATTTTGTACATTATTCATAATACTTTACAAAACATAAATTGCATTTACCTGTGCACTACTTTAAAATAATAATAATACCATTAGCTATTAAGTACTTAAACCGGCCACTTACCGACTTCCATTTGCAGAACATAGATAAATGGAGAGCAAAAAGCTTGCATCAAATTTCTGAAGGAAAAAAAAACACAAAGAGCTCAATTTTGTTTAAGAACGAAAAAATTGCATTATTTATAGAATGATGAAAAACTAAATGAAACTGACTTGTTATGTGCTCAACCAATTTTCTTGTCTGCATAATTAATTAGTAGACCAGGTTAAATATGATAAAATATTAATATGACAACACCTTTTGCAGTTACGTGGCTGCATTAATATACTCATATATTCATCCAACCAAATTTCATTTATTTAATATTTCTTCATTATTTACTTATTTCCGTTTTATTTCATTTATATTTTCATTCAGTACTTTAATCATCATTCACTTTGTAAGAATCTACTTTAAAACAAAGTTTGTTTCTTGATGGTTTGTCTAACTCAGTTATTATTATTCTTTGATAACAGTTGGTCATGGTAAGAGTGAAGGAGAACGAGCACAGGTTGACAGTCTTGACACATTTGTGGGGGATGTTTTCCATAATATTGACCAAGTTACTGCAAAATACCAATCATTACCTATGTTCATATTTGGTCATTCTATGGTAAGAGCTACAATCATGGACAAAATTAAATGGGACAGAGCACTATTTCTGTGCTCTAGAAGATGCGCTCTCTTATGAGCTGTTTAAATCCTCACTCAAGCCCTCCCTCCTACCCCCACAGTCAATGTTGGTTGTCATTGTTGTTGCCGGGAATGTTTCGGTATGAAAGGAGGGTTTGTTTGGATTCCAACATTGGAAATGGGAGACCATGGGGGGAAATTGTCTGTAAGTTTTAGTAGACATATACACATACATTTTGTCCCATGAATTTTTCCATGATTGTATGTACCAATGTGGTTAAACTGCTTACAGCTTGGATTGTAGCTGTTACAGATATGTTTCTAGTTTCAGTAACAGATACAAGGCAGAGTTGTTAAGCAATATGCTCATCCCCTAGCCTGGGTGACAAAGCCTCCTTTAGCAGTCATCCCTGTGTCATCACGCAACGCTACTACTCATAGAGGATTGATCCTTATAGCCCTTTGACATGGGTGGTACTACCAAAAGTTAAAGATTCCCATCTGAGCTTTTGGATCATAGGCCTGGGACATTCAGGCAGTTTGGATAAGAGAAATGATGATCATGATTGATTCATGGTGTAAAATACTTGGATTGTTTCGCAGGGAGGAGCTATCACCATACTGTGTGCATTACAGAGACCAAAGTTCTTTCAAGGTGTATTACTAAGTGCTCCAGCAATCCTGGTGGATCCCAGTAAAGACAACAAATGTATGGTAAGTAGGCCTGTATTAGTTAAAGTTTGTTTCTCCTCAGAAATATATAATTATAGCAGCATCATGTCTTGTCTATAAATACAATGAAGCTGCTTGTTTTTATAAATGCTAAAAGATGCACTGGATTCAAATGTTATGTGGTTTGTCTGGATGTGACGCAGGCTATCAAAATACTAGTGTTGTGAAAGTCTAAAGATTCTGTAATCAATATCAATAGCTCACAGGCAAGCACACATACTTTATACATACCCGGGCAGTATTCTTATTTATCTAGTCTCCTTCACATGCATTTCCGGTGGAGATTACGCTTCGTGTTTTGACTCTGGAAAATGGATGCGAAGGAGACTATCCTAATTAATGTTATCAAAAATAATTGTTTCTGTTTCAATTTTTAGCGATGTCTTGGGAATGTGGCTGCATTTATTTATCCTTCTCTTGAAGTAATTCCACCAATAGATCCAGGTGAAACTTGCCGCAACCCTGACAAGGCAAGTACCATCACACTTTCTATTTGTTATAGTATAAAGATAGAACTGGCCCATTACCTGTAATGTCATAGCTTTTTAGTGCAATATCACAATAATTTAAAAACATTACTTCAGGTAGAAGAATACAGAACTGATCCATTAGTGTTCCATGGTGGCATTAAAGCTGGACTTGGCATGGCTCTAGCGAATGGAATGGACACTATCAATGCTAAGATGAAAGACATTGACTGGCCATTCCTGGTAATGCATGGTGACGCTGATTCACTGGCACTGGTTGAAGGTTCAATCAAGTTGGAGAAAATGGCCAAAAGCCAAGACAAAACCATCAAGGTACTTTAACATTGTTGTATTTTATCACTATTACTGGTATCATAAAACATCAAACTGAGATCAGTTAATCTGGAAATGTTATCTACCTGGTACAAAGAAGGTAGCATGATCTTCAATTTATTGGAATTTATCGAAAAATGAGGGCTTTTCTTGTCTTTTACATTTGTATATGATTCCTTTTTACTAAGGTACAAAATGCTGTATTTTATTTTCATGTTTTGGAAATATTATTAAACTAGAAATGTTTAATATGTTTATAATTTCTTTGCTTTAGATTTATGAAGGTTACTACCATGAGATATTGAATGAACCAAGAGAATACTCCAGTATCGTACTCAATGACATCATACAATGGCTGAGAGAGAGATTGTCTTAGTTCAAGAGAACAGCACAGATGTAGATAATATTTATCAATTAAAAAAAAAGCAAAAAAAAAGCAATATTTAATAGTATTTAAGCACATTTTACATTTGGTTTGTTTAGTAATTTAAAATACCTTGTAAACACATTTTAACGCTGTAGGGAGAGTGTATAAAATTATCATTTTGAGCATTGTAATGCTGAAAGTACTGTATATTTAAGAGTTTTTAGAGAATAAACAGCTACAAGCACATTAATTTCCATATAAACTTGTAAAATCACATTATAATCGTTTCCATCCAATAGTGGACAAGATATAATCTCTACCCAGTAATTTCTGCAGAAATACACAGAATATAAGTTATTAGAGACAGAAATGGTCAAAGCATTAGCTGCAGTTTGAATTGCAGCTTTGCATTGTAAGACATTAAGGGTGAGATTGTATTTATGTGGTCCATTGTGGTCCAAACAATTTATTATCACTGTAAAGATGAGGGAACTATAAAATGGAGTATGTTACTAAAACAGACAGCATATTAACTGGAAAAATACAGGAGATAATTAGAAGGCATTATGTTAAAGAGATTGTAAGTTGCTCAGAGTTCTGTACCCTTAATAAGCAAGTTCTCTACCTCGAGTGTGCCTTGGAAGTATCAATTGTACACCATGCAGTTCCACAAAAATCTTGCCAGGCTATTTGTCAGATCTGCACAACAAAATTAATGAGAATAAAAAAGGATTAAGAATTACAAATGGGAGTAAATGAAAATATCAATATAAATAGGACGGGGCCATCAGAGAGAAACAATAAAAAATGAAAAAATAAAAAGTGAGAAGTGAAAGCAAACCTTTCTGTGAAGAAAAAGCCAGTCTTACATTTCTACATAAAAATACACCATTTTCTTCAAAAATATCAGCTTTAATTTGATTTTGAAATGACAATGATAATGAGAGTGTGTTTTTGAGCTATGTAGCCCGACCTTGCACCAGCCCGAGCTCATCAATCTTAGTCTACTACAAATAGTTTAGGACTAAATTATCATCACCACAGCCTACAAAACACAACTTTTCACAATTGTCAATAAGCACAATGATTTATACACAAAAAAATCATGTCTTTTTTTGAAAAATATTATTTGAACATTCTTGTCCATTTTCAAAGCTGAGATTTTACCAACCAAAATAATATAACATCCTAATATAGTATCCTAACTTAAAACTTAAAATACTTGCTCAAACTATGAGCATATGACTATTCTTGAAACATAAATCACTATCATAAACATAACCTTTACTTGATATAATAATGTGAATCTAAAATCTTCACTATATTCACATGGTACAGAGGGAATATTTGATTATCAAACAAATATTTTTATCAGTTATGTAAAAAGATAAATTTAACGTCGTAAAAAAGTATATGAAATAACTTACTGACGTTTCAGACGTTAATCCTTCGTCGGAGTAAAGTAAACGGAGTAGAGTAAACTTTTACTCCGACAATTAACGTCCGAAACGTCAGTAAGTTATTTCACATACTTTTTTTACGGTATTAAATTTATCTTTTTACATAACTGTTTCTTTAGAAACACCGACGCAGCTCACACTAGTTTACCGCTAATTCCCACCAAATATTTTTATCATTATACCTTTGAGACAAAATTCCTGAATCAGAATAACTTATTGTTTATAAGTTACTGTAATTGTAGGTAGGATACGGATCTTTCGCCTTCTGAGGTCAGTGACTTGTCAATCAAGTGAGGCTTTCACAAATAAACCATTTTTGATTGGCTTGTATATTTGTGGTTAACAGAAGCTTTTTATCAAAACCCAGTACCATGTGAATAAAGTATTAAATAAATAATATTTGTTTTTTTTATTGCACACAACGTGAAAATATGCTCAATGGAATAAAAAGACTGAATATCAAGACATTTTGCTTGAAGTAAAAAGTTATTTTTGCAGCTCTTTTTCAATGTCTTTCACAATATCTGCTGGAGCTGTACTAGGAGCATACCGCTTAACAGGGACACCTTCTTTGTCACATAAAAACTTGGTAAAATTCCACTTAATGTTATCTGTCAGTGTGCCTTTCTTGGCCTTCTTTAAGTAAACCCAAAGGGGATCAGCATTGGAACCATTCACATCTATTTTGCTAAATAAATCAAATTCAGCTCCATAGCCTTTAGCAAATTCTTTGATTTCTTCATTGCTACCGGGTTCTTGACTGCCAAACTGATTACAAGGGAAGGCAAGAATACGAAGACCTTTCTCAGCATACCTGTAGATACATTACAAGGAAAAAAGCATACATAAATGGAAAATCAATATCACACAGTATATGCGCCTATGAGACATAATCCATCGAAAAACCACTTGCTTGTTAAAATGTTAAACCAGAAGTCGATTTTTTAAAGAAATCAAAAGCGAAAGATGTTCACAAACACAAAAACATAAGTGATTGCTCACTCAACCATTCAGACGTAAACAGCTGTTACACAATAATATGTTATCCACGCAAATTACAATATAATCACTTGCTCTATCTCTTTACAAGTATGGCTCTTTACTATTAATGTTTATAAACAAAGAAATCACAGCACATCACAGATACTTATCAGCTCGTCTTCCTTCTCAAATCACTATGAACCAACTACTAGTTTGCAGAAAGAAGTTATTGTATTAAAGTGTATGATTTCTACCCAGGCTCAAACAACAGTGTAGCTTGTAATATCTATGCTGTACCTCTTTCAAAATGCAACAATTACGTAATTTACTGCATCCTCTTTGTGTCTAGATTGAAATGGCTTAAACAAACATCGGGTCATGCCAATCAAAGTTCAGATCTCCACACAAAAACACTTTAATACGTTCTTACTTTTGGTGCAGTTCTTGAAGCTGAGTATAGTTCTTCTTTGTAAATCCTCATTTAGACGCAACATTGACGATTAGAGTCACAAAACCTTTATACTTTTCTAACGGGACAGCGTTGCCGTCGATGTCCTTCACCTCGAAGTCATATATGGAAGTGTTGCTGGCTTGAGCCATTGCAGTGCGACACAAGCCTATAGACACTCCAACAGGGAGGCACACTATCCTCAAGTTATTGTACAAACTACGAGAGGAAAGTGACTTTGTACTGTGGAGAAAGCTACGGTAAAGAAGACTGCACATGTGAGCTTGCTGTACCTTGCACCTGCAATGATAGTCATGTGACGTTTGTTGACAGACGGCCGAGGACGAGTCGTTACGAACAACTATTGATTACATTCGTAGAATTATCGAAGAGCTTTAAAAAATATGTGGTAATCTTAAAATTCCTGCGTCAAGAACTTGCGAAAGAGCGAGAAAAATGCATTTTTTTTATTTTTCTATTGTTCTATTTATTCGTCAAAAATTTTAAACAAACATTAAATTTTTCAAAAATAATTAAATTAGCAAAGTTTGCTTTATCTATTTAAAAAAAAGCTAGAACCTGTTTTTAGCGTTAAAACATAAAAACTATTGGTTTGCATTTTCATTAATTTATAAGATTAAAATTTATATTAATTTTATTAGGGATACATATATGTGTATTATAGGAGGGGAGGGGTGGGATGGTTATGACTTGCCAGGATACAAAGCTCATCGAATCACAAGTGACCAGGTCAACAAACTAGAACTACAGTCTATTTTGAATCTCTCAAGAAAAAGCTTGTAAAATGACATTACAGTGGACTTTAGCGGCTGGATTTTTGTATGCAGAGATTGGAGTCATTCTACTCTTCTGCGTTCCTTTCATTTCTCCATCAAGGTATTTCAAAGCGTTTCATTTTCTGTTTGTCGAACGCCATCACCTAAATTTCTAAATTGCAACTGATCTTTGGAAGTTTCGAAGACAAATAACACAACAGTTTGCAGGCATTTTAGTCTACCTTTGTGATAGTTTTTAAGGCGTTTTTCGTCGGTTTTATTTCCAGGTGGAATCAAATATTCAAATCGCGTCTCATCTCAGCTGTGTCGAGTTATGGTAATTTCTACTTCAATGTAGTTGTGATAGTCATGATGCTTCTGTTGGCAGGTAATTATCCATTGAATAGCGTTACAAAAGCTAAATATTAAATTGTAGTTTGTGTGTATTTCTTTCGGGGTTTTAGCAGTGTGATATAAAATATCAGTCGGCTAACTATCAAACTGACATGTTGCAAGTCGTGACATTCAAGAACTTCACACGTTACATTGTACCTTTCTTATATATAAACTTCTTTCTTTAGGGTTCTTTATCATTTCATGCACAGCTTGCATATTTGTATTTTCACCTTTATTGAGAGGGAAGATCCTTCGGACAATTAAAATTATCTTATTCTTTTTTAAGACATGATCTCATATATTTGTGTGTTTATTACTAATTGCTGACATACAACTTCTAATACTGATGCAATACTTCAATATTTTGCAATGAACCCAGGCTTGTTATGACTGAAATATTCTATGAATGATAAAAATGGCAATGACAAATATGTATTATGGATAATTACTGATAATGGTTTTGATATTGATCAGGGTGAACTCTTACCCAATGATCATGTCTTGAAGACATGATTAGTATAAAATGGAAATCTCCAAGACTTACCTCTAAAACTCTTAAGACTGTACATGTATGCTCTTTGTGAAACAAATAGCACAAAAACCTATAAACAGTGTTGATTGAACAAAAGGAAACAAAGGAATTGGCATAATTTCACACCTATTTTATACTTTTTGTGTTTTGTGGATAATGGCATTTGCTATCCAGTGTTTGCATAGATTGAGATAAACTTAAAATTACTACCATATATTAAATGATGTGCATTATTATTTATCAATTAATGTTAATAATAGACTCTGTACGGGAGATGTACAAGTACAACAAAGTTGACGACAGCAGCCACATGGATTTGAAGAACAATCCTCAAGCAGAAACTCTTATTCACATGAAAAAGTTTAGAGCTCAAAGAAACTTCTACATTTCTGGATTTGCTCTATTCCTGTTGGTGTATGTATTGGTCATATCTATAGAGTATCTATAGAAGAAAAAAATTGAATAAAGATTGTTGGCTGACTATTTGTTTTTGTCTCATTTTTCCAGCGTTTTGCGCAGAGTTGTAAAACTTCTTGCCAGACTGTCAGTGAGTGAAGCGTCAGCTGAAGCAAGCATTAAACAAGCCAAGGCAGCCAGTGATCAATGCCAACGGCTCATGAAAGAAAACGAACAACTAGAGAAGGTTAGTCTGTGGTAACATAATGTATATCTAATTATTAGAAGTACTCAATTGATTATATATACATATGTAAGTCTCTTTGTATTTCATTGTCATAGCATTTTGAAGTGCAGTATTTATAATATTACTTTAACAGAAACTGAAAGGTGACAAGGATGCTAACACAGAAGAGGAAGCCAGTGATGAAATGAATAAACTCAAGAAAGAATTAGAAGAGAAGACAGAAGAGTTGTCTAAGAAGACAGAAGGTACAAATATGACCATATTTTCATTGATAGTTTTTTTGTCCATCATATAAACATTTTGTTGTTGTAAGATTTGGAGAAAACCAAGAAAGACTTAACAGCCTTGAAGGAGCAAGCAGAAGGTGTTACCAGAGAATACGACAGACTCTTGGATGAACATTCAAAGAAGCAGGTACATTATTAATAATATTGTTCAATATCAGGAAGCAAATAGCTTTGATTTTTTTATAAAGCTACAGAAGTACAGTTTAAGTTGTCATCATCTGGAAAAGGGATGATCAAGTTTCCATTGTTGGGCTTCCTGTCCTTCTCGGCCGATGCCAGGGCTAGGGGTGACCTACATAGCATGCAGTTGATGTAATGTATTCATAAAATGTATTGTATTCTATTGTTTCTCGTTCTATTGTATTATGTGTTTTGTATTATATCTTTATGAATATATTACATCAACTGAGTGCTACATAGATTCTCCCGCCAGGGCTATCTCTGGGCGCCATTTTGAAAAAGCGAGCAGAGTAGCCCTGGGAATGAGGCTGAGGAAGCCCAGCAATCGAACTGAAAGAGCTCCAAATGTGTCCCTGTGTAGCACTCCATTGTCATTAACTTTGTGTATATATTTTCACAGGCACAATTAGAGAAGAGTGACGAAGACAAAAAAGATGACTAAAATATTAGTCATTGTTGCCATAACTTTGAAATTGTAGAATAATATATGTTGTCAGAAAACAAGAGGTAGTTTGAACCACTAAAGTAAATTTGCACAAAATTTATTAACATTATGTCAATGGACTTGAAAAATGCTATCTTTCCGAGTATATCAGAAAGAGAAAACGGTAAGAATGCATATTGAGTTTGCTAAGGTTGTGTTGATGTAATGTTTAATCAATTTTAATACTAGTTATATATGACTTTACTGAATATAATATCTGGGCTCCCTGTGCTGAAAGGAAAATAGAAACACAGGAAGCCCAATCTTGACCAAATCAAATATAATGTTAAAATAGCATAGGATTTGTTTTACAAATAGTAGCCACTAGTATTCAAATGTAAAAGTTCCCAATAATAATAATAATAATCATAGTATTCTAGGAAAAATATGTATTCAATGTACGTTTATTAAATAAACATAAATGAGATAATACAAAAAATAAAAACAATCTACAGTGAAGTAATTAAACATGTTTATTTATTGATTTACCATGATTCCTAAGCAAGGTTTATTTACAAGTTTTATATTCAAAACTATATCGATGGTGACTTCAACTGCAGATCCTGTCAATCATGCGAAAGGCATGGATATTGCAGTTGTTGGGGTTTGGACAATGATGCCTCTTACAGAAGTAGATGGCACTCCCCTCCGCATACCATCCCAGTAGAGAGAGATAATCCCTATATAGGTTACCAAGAATACCAATAATTTGTTTCGTCAGGCCTTCACTAAGGACAATGTATGTACACCACAAATAACGACTTTGTGCAACTTCCTTTTCTCTGTACTTGTTCCATGATCTTCATTCACCTCTATGTCATGATTTCTTGCAAGTACATAACTGATCCCAGTCTATATCCACAGTAAACACTTCTCTTTCTAACCATCGTTCATAATTATTCTTAAATTCATCCCCAAGTTCTACTTTCTTGCCCAATACACTTAGAGTATCGTTGTTGACAGGTTTGAATTCATCATCTTCTGTTGTGATTTCCAAAGACTCTGGTACATAATGGCGGTTGTTAAACCTGTCCACTGCAGCTCTTAAGGAGCATTCTTCAGCTTGGAAATCCCATGGTCTAGCATCAACATCTTAGAAACAAAGGATCAATGTTGGTTATTTCAATTAGAAATACATTTATTCTTTGTTAAGCTCAATCACACAAAATCTGTTTTTTGCTTTTCAAGAAAGACTTTTATTTTGTGTTAGAAAGACTTCGTGTTAACAACATAGGATGTAGGTTTGACTTGAAAACGTTAAATTGTGATCGAGGTTTGTCATCAAMTTACCGTTTCCGAAGGCCCAATCATCGTTAAGTCGATGTCGTACTTTCTGATAAATGGCTGAAATCGTCTTCATGTTGCTCTTCCTCCAATTCCGACCCAAATACTTGGTTTGTGCTTTGAGTAGCTGCAGAAATATTAAAAAAACTCGTTACAACCATTTCCAGTTTCGAACGTCGTAGCGCATTACGCGCAATGCGCAACCTCTGTTAACCGGACAGTCAACTCTAGCCTTACGGACACCCCACAACGGACACCTTGATATTGCGGACAGAACAATACTGAATCGCCGGCGAAAATTTTAAAGAAATGACTGAAAGTAACTCTCGTTACTACTGACTCTCGGTACTGCGGACACTAAATTACGGTCCCGAGGGTGTCCGTAATAGCGAGAGTTGACTGAATTCCAAATATGAGCACCCTCTATAACGGACACCTGTATAGTAAGGATACCTACATTGCGAACACATCTTGTACAAACACCAATAAAAAACACCCCCGTACTTCGAGAACCTCTTACATACGGACATCTATGTATCACAAGCACTTGCACAATACGAAGAACTCTTCGTTACAAAACCTTTATAGTACGGGCAGTTTTTTGTTCCTCCTCATCGTCCGTATTAAAGAGGTTATACTATTCAGTTAAGGTATACCTTTAGGACGTATAGTTGCAACATGTCATGCTTTGCTTTCAAAGCTCTCTTAAGAATCGGCGCAGACTTGAACACAACCAACATCTGTAAGAAAACAAAATACAGAGATATGTCTTACGAAATATGAAAAGATAAATATATTACTGAATAGATCATCATACCATTGTCCTGGAATGCTTCCATTTTGTCAGCTTTTGTAGAATTCGAACTAAATTTATACAAGAGAACAAATTCCGCCAGCAACAACTTTCCATGTCTGCGCTTTCCTGGAAAATACCACCCAGAATCAACAGGAAACAAATCAGAGCCATTTTTATAATGGAATGGGACGTTGTCCTTAATTTCTTCTTTTGGGGAGAGAAGTTAAAAGGTGGCAATGCCAAGCAGAAAATTGGGAATTTAATACACTATATCCAAGACGATACCCAAGATCCGCAGATTTCGCACATATCGCAATTGCGAAAATGACGAATTTCGGGGGCAGAGTTCGGAAACTCACTGATATTGGTGCCTGAAAATACCTCGTTTCCAATAGCGCCCCTGCGATATTTTTGAAAGCGCCAGCGTAACTTAGATATCGTCTATTTTTGAAGACACAATAGTTACCAAACTTTCAGCAGTTAGCTCCGAAGGTGGACCCAGAACAGAAACAGGAAAATCCAGCTGAGGAATACTGAAACATCAAACGATTTTGATTGTCACTGCATCCACAAGAAAAGAACTCACACTCTCATAGAGAAAACTAAGTCTGACACAGGTATCCCGCGCAACGGAACTTGGAGGCTATCCCCACCGTTTAATTTTCAGCAGCTTTTATGCAGACTATGGCAGAGGAATCTCCTCATCGCGAAATAAAACTCACGTGTTTTTAGCAGTGATAAAGGCAAGGATGTTCTGATTAAGGATCTTGAGTATCAGAGGAATGCAATTGGCGAACACAAGATGTTGAGCCATGAATTCAAACTGAAAGGTAAAGACAGTCTAAGTGATCGATGACAAATAAATTAACGGAACGAAACTAAGGGCGACAAAGGGCAGCAACACCATGCGTGGTCCAGAACCAAAACTGGTCTGTGCTTTGTTCAACAGTTTTGGTTTGGCTGAACGTAGGACAAACAACTACAATAGAATCAACAAACAAACAAACCTGATAAATGTGGTTAAGTTTTAAGTGTTTGAGAAGGATGAAAAGAAGACCAGAGATCGCCTTCACAATAATCTCCTAATAAAGAAAAGATATAAAACATTTCAAAATAGCTACAAGTTCTTGTTACGACTAAAGACATCAGAGAATGAGAATGGAATAAAGAAAGGTAAATTTAATTTATTTCSGAGCTAAATGAAAAGACAGTGTTACCATTCTATGAAACAAGAAGCTATAAAACTAGATTTTTAGTTATATTCGCAAAGAGACACACCTTGTGCCGATTGACGTCGATGCCAAGTCTCATTGAGTGAAGGACTGTGGAGCTATGGTTAAAAAACAAAACAAAACAAAATGAAATGAAATGAGCCCTGCTATGAATGGTCTGCACACTCCTCCCCAGTCGTCGCTCTACTCTTTTTTTACGTTTTTTTATAACCTTGGCTTAGACGCCTTGCAAAATACGTAGACGCGACCCTGGAGGAGGCACGGGGATGAACTAACGACAAGTGCTTTGGGCTGTCTAATGAGAGGCCCTAGTCCAGATAGAGTGACGGTACTTACGGCATATCTTCGGGCAAGACGTCGGCTAGGATATTAATCGATTCGGTTTTTGCCTTTGCGGTGGGAGCTGCCGCTAGAAGTATCTTCAATAAAGCGATCTAGAAAAAAAGTGATGACACGTCGGTAATTCTTGTCAACGGCGTATTTTTGTGTTGAAGAGGAATACATTAGTCACGAAAACTTGGGTACCCTGTGTTAAAGTCTTTATACTTACCATATATTGAGGGAGGTTGGGTAACATGGCTTGGTAAAGCTGTTCCGTTGGGTTACTAGGTAACTTCTTTTTGCTCTAAAATAAAACAGCATAATTAATCCGAAGATGGAACAGCGGAATGGTCGAACGACAAGAACAGACGAATTATTGACGAGCAAATGACTGACTCACGAATGTCCGACGAATGACCGAACGAGCAAACCGAATGTCAACGAAGGAGCAACGACAAATGACCGACGAGGGAACGACAAGCAAACGAACAAGTGAAATGACGCACAAATGTACAAGCTTATTCATTATTTTTACAATGATTTTTACCTTCGTAAAAGGACGGTCTTCCAACTCTTCTTCTTCTTTGATTTGCATTTCTGATAATGATGTGTAAAGATGCTAAAAATACAGAGAAAAATTGAGCAGGTTATGAAGAAGAACGGATACTCGAGCACTTCGGGATTCCTGTGCTCTGACAACAATTACAATTCCATCTTTAATACCTTTTTAAGAACATGCAGTCCTTCGTGGATCGGTTGCGGCAAACCAGCAATGGTGGATCGATCACTGAAATATAATAAAAACACACTGTTAAACTCGTAGTATTCATTATCGTGCAAACAGTCGATTCAAGCCTGTGGGGGGAGGGGTGAGTAGCACCTGTCGAATCATGAATTTTATATCCACTCAGAGAAATGATGCTGAAAATCCCTCTACCCTGCATGTTTGCTGGCACACATCCACCAAGACCAAGTGCCAAAGAGCTTAAAATGTTCTTAACGTATTTTAATCGGCTTAGTGAGGAATTCTAGAATCAGGACCAGCAAAAACAACATAAGAAAACCAAAAAGGTGGTAAATACCAAGTGTATGGTAATAAAGCTGATAACATATCTGGTCCATCAAGAATGGATATGACTGTGAATTCATGTCTACTACCGAAAGTACCTACGATGAGGTTACTAAAGTAAATATTTTCGGCTTTTATATCGTATCATTTCATCTTTATTTAAGAAGTTAAGTTTCTATTATATTTCTGAGACATAAACTGAGATAAAGGATCAGTAATCATCTAATCCTAATTCAACATCTGTCAGATCGTGTTGCTTCAGACCAGACAACGTTTAGACCAGTTCCTGGCTGACGACCTGAGATAGTGTGCGCTAGCATGAACCTGCATGAAGATTAACTTCAGTTGTTTTTAGAATTCAAGCAGGTCCCATCAGACGAAAACGAAGACGCACATGAAGTCAACAGTTGTTTTTGACTGATCAAGTGTTCTTTACAGCATGGAACAAATAATCGCAAAGTATTCTTTTCCACATTCTTTTTATAAAAGAAAGAGTTAATTCTAATCAGTAAAATGCTTAGGTGAATGGAAAACAGATGTAGGTGCTTCGATTTCTGTATAAAACATATGTTAGTCGGATGGTTAACTATAATTAGAATAGTTCTTAGGATAGATGATCTTGTTTTCTTAGTATCAGAGAATCAATGTCGACGCACATTTAGCTGTTACGTAACTGGGCATTGGATACAAAAATATGCAGGCCACACGGCATGACATAATTTTTATCAGTCTATTTGGTACCAAAAATAACCGAGGTTTTTCCAAAAATAGCTGAACATACTGTTCTCTTACTCCTCGTATAACCGGGGCTGCAAGGTTTAACCTAATTCGTACTAATGCTCGCGGGCACTTGATTTCGCAAAATCGGAAGAGTTATATCAGTTGAATTCGCATTTTTGAAAAATAACTACTTTAAATACATGGCCATTTTTTTTGTAAATTAACCATTTAGCGCGTCTTTCATTTCGCGTTTTTTYACACTATCCTGTGTGCCAGTGGATTAGAGAGGTATTGGCGGTAAATCAACCGTGTGTCTCACCAGCCGTTCTCTGTTTTCAGCCCGGGGGTTACTCGACCCCGTTTTGAATAGGTACGTGCCGCCAGCAGTCTAAAACCCTTACCCTGTTTAAGACACTAGAAAGTAAAAATCCATACCCTGTTCAAGACAAATCGAAAAAATAAGGAATCGCTATCTACCCCGCAACCATCAAAACTTCAATTATACTGACATACATCAAAGACAATAAGAAGTTTTTGATAACACGTCAATCCTGTTACAGTGAAACGCTATTTCTACTATTTCCACAAGGTACAAAACATACTTAAATTCGCCAAGGTCGACATCTCACAAACATCTTGACAATGATTTTATGAGTTCATTATTCTTCCCCAGAAGATTCCAGGAAAAGATATTATCTATCGATCTATAAAGAACTGACCACATTTAACCTGTGAAACAAAATCTAATAGCCACAAGGTGTAATAAAGTAGTCAAAATAAAGTAGTCAAACAGACACAAAAGAAAACAATGGAGTTCATGGTGTATTTGTGTAATCTCTATTTCACGGGTTTACGGTGTTATCTCTATTTCACGGATTTACCAAATGAAATACAATTAAAGACAACTAAGTTGTTATCATGTTATAGTTTCAGTTCACTGAGCCCAAGATTATACGTCGAATTGAGCTTTCGCCGCACCAAATTCAAGTTTCTATTCCTCAACGCGAGACAAGTCATTGTTTTGATCTCATTTGCCTCAACACCGACACTTCTGCAATACTTCTCGTACAGTAAATTACAACTTAGGATACTTTCCAATTAAATTTATTGCTGAAACCTTAAAAAAACACAGTCTTTACTTTGCCATTTGTCACTGAACACTTTGTTCGGAACAGAATTACGTTCGACCTATAAACTAGGCCTTAGTTATTCTTACTTTACTCTTACGAAGTTTATCGTATGTTTCTTTGTAACAGCAAGAGGATATCAACAATTGATTTGATTCAACACCGTATCGCTCTTCTATTGTCCAATCATGCACAGCCTCAGGCGGTCATTGATAATTACACAACAGCACTCTACTTAGGTTTGTCTATCAGGTTGGCAAGCATGTTGAGCAGGTCAATTCCTGGGGAAAATCCAATATTTGACGCAGAATGAGTCACGTACGACCTATTTGGGTATGTTTAACCTGTTTGTAATGTCTAGGGAAGTGCTCAACCACTTGTCTGTGCGACCTGAATAGTCGTACCTGATGTTATTTGATCTCTTTCCGATTTACCGAAAAAACTGTTCATTATATAATACCAGAAAAGGTCGATAGGTGGCAAGATGTTTTTTAACATAATAAAATGATTTTTCCATCTTTTTCCTTTGCCCCTTTCATTTCAAAACACCAGTCAAAGCAATACGTGTTTGTCAAATAATGTACTGAATGGCATAAAAAACTGATATCACTACTCACAAGGGATGACTTCCTACAGTTTTTTTTACTCGTGCTGAAGTAAAATCTTTGAGAATGTTTCTTTCGTTTTTTCATTGACTATAGCAAACTATATAAGACTTAATAGCAATGACAATAATATGGAAGCTAATTTCGACTGTTTTCAGCATACAGATAGTTATTTGTTGAGGCACAATACACTGCAGTAAAAACGAACAAGTAAAAAACATGAAAAACAATACTTAACGCGGACAGTTTTGTGCATTAACACCAGAAGACAAACAAAGAAAAACACAGCCAAAGTAGTTTTAAACTTAGAGTGGTAGACAAAACCCAGGAACTTCTCACGCGTTTATTTTCATAACAGCGATGTATTTTCTCAAAATGCACTCTGTGTTGTTTGATTGTTTCATGGRCTAATGACCASRATGTATTGTCTTCACTAGAAAATCCAAGAAAAGAGGAAGAAAATTCCTTACAGCAATGACGCAAACAAGTACTCGATATCGAAACCACGATGACATCGAAAGGATGTTGTAGCCTTTGTCAGGTTATCTTTTGGTCAGGTTACACTGAACGTTTTTGCTTACGTTCTAAAATTTTAAAATTGTTTCCAAGAATGTAATAAAAATCATCACTTTGTCAGAATAATGTCTTATTGTCGCGCCTGTACGTAAATTCTACGATCCGCATTACTTAAGCCATGCTGCCAAGAAGGAAATTAGACTGTAAGAATGTTATCTAATTGCGTAACGTTTCGTTTACATGAGAGAAATTCTAATACTGCTAAGAGAAAGAAATAGTCTAGTATTTACGACTAATAATGTTTTACGTTGTATGCAATGAAATTCATATGTTGAGAATACCAGCAGTTTCACGTTACGTATTTTTTTTTAGGTTTCGCATATAAGCCGTTAAAATACTTCAAGCCTACCAGGTCGTTACGTTTCTTACAAGCAGTACATGTAGCACGTATTAGTCTCGACGCAACACTAGGAAAAGTTCTTCAAAAGTCTAGCGCAAAGCTAACAAAGGGACGTCAAAAAATAAAACAAAAAACCCGTCCATTCGCTTTGAAAGGAATTAGAGACAAACCGAAACCCTTAAATAAACTTCTCCCGCTTTACTGTACTTAGACATTTGGTTATCTTCCAATTATGGTCACCCATTATTCTCAATCCCCTCAAATAGTCGAGCGGTTCGTCTGTAACTGTGGAACAGAAGTGATAAATGGTATGCTTGTGGCTAGTGCAGTGAATTCCGGTCGAGTCTATCTGATATGAAAACTACAGGTACTTCAAGGCGCCAGTTTCTCGTATTTCTCATGTTGGCGAAGAGGTCACCGCACCTAATTATTGTGTCAATAGCGCTTAAACAATGCCCGTCTAACTGATTCATTAAAACCTCTCGTGATTTTCACTGGCGGACTCTTGCAAGGTGTGTAGCTGTCACAAGCAGATACAAGTGGTGCTTAAACTCTTGCTTGATGCCAAAACAGTATATTTTCACAACGGAATTGGATTGGTATTCGATAAACGCTCAACCCAGTGCTTCAAATCTGACAAAACTTTCTTTAATCACAACAATTTCAAGATAAACTTTGTATAAACGTTCCTGTGGGTAAAAAAACCTCAGCATCATGCAATCTCGAGGCCTGAGTCATTTCCTGTGTTCGGTTTGGTAAAAGTTGGTTTGTAATTAGGCGTAATAAAAGTAGATTGTTTTCGAGACATTATACTGAGGTTATAGTATCTTATCGGCTTTGATATCAACTTTCAAGTGCAACATTCCAACACAACCTGTTAACTACAACACCGTATTTTCTTTCTTCTTTTTTATCCACATTTTTACATTGATAAATATTATTAAACAGGAACAGGGAAGAGCGCTGAATGACTTGAAATTTAACATTTTACGATAAACATCAGTGCGCGCGGCGTATGCAAAAAGCCGACTTGATAGTCCCCTGGTCTAATTGATCTATAAGCCGTGCAGTTTTCCGCTTGAAGATAAAAAAAAGAAATAACTTTGTTTAGTATCATTATTGCTAAGTTTAAGACTGAGCTTTTCTATGGCAGCTTCAGAACTATTCGAGATAATATCAAAAGGTTTTTAACGTAATTTTCCTATTAATCGGCAATTGTTGTCCTTTGTAACGTGTTTTCTAACTGGATTCAAATCACGTACTGTGAGCGATAGAAAGACAGCCTGAGTCCTCGTGTTTAACCAACAGCGACATTCTTGAAAACGATCTGGCGCACCTTGAACATGAATACTTCTTAACCTCTGCATGTGTTTGCATGTGCGCACGTAGATTAGAACGATCTGCAAATGCTCGTTTACATATCGGGCACTCGTAGGGTTTTTCCCCGGTATGTGTACGAATATGACCTTGAAGTAGCCATGGTCTGCTAAACGCCTTACCGCATATCTTGCACTTGCATGGCAGGGTGTGGGTTCTTATATGCATTTTTAGGGCTCCCAAGGATACGTAGATTTTATCGCACTGCTTACAGGTGAACGTTTTCTTGTGGTGAGATGAGCAGTGATATTGCTGATGCTTGACCAGTCCTATTAAAGTAGTATAACATTTATTACATTGATTGCATTGGTGTCTTGCACGCTCACTGTCCGTGCTTGCTTGAGATCCTTGGCAGTCTAAGTATTCTTCACCGTTGCATCTGTCATCTGGTTCGCTCGGGCGCTCAAATTTCACGGGAGGTTTCGGGACGTTTGTGAGCTGGTTGACGCCAGGAATGCTAGTAACATCAGCAGGATAGATACATTTTGTTCCTAACCCATTCCAAAACTGTATTCGTGTGTCCTGCTTCGGTCTATTGTCTTGTTTATCATCGGAAAGACGCGAAGACGCGCCATGAATCTGGCAACCTGTAAAGATCAATGCGTTACTTATCGGCACGGAATGCAAATAGGCAAAACCCAACACGACTCGCTTATTTTGACTTTGATTACAATGAAAACCGCTCATATGTAAAGAGCTTGCTTAGAAATAAAGAATGTGATCACATTTGACGAGGTTCTGTTGATCGTGAATGAAGAAAGACAACATCTTGTCATATTACACTTGTTGCATCAAGTTGCATGAACAAGTGCAAACAAAAGCGTATCCAAATCATAACCTTTCTAACTTACCATAGCTTTTCTCTTGGTAGGACTCATTTCGACTCGAAGGAGCCTTCCTCTCAGGGTTCTTTTTAACTAAGAAAGACCTCGGCATTTTAGCGCTGTTGAACAGTAGCAGTTCACAAGTGTACGTAATAACACTGGGTCTTGTTCTAAGCCTTGGCGATAGCCCGTCGTTATGACGTCATGATTATCTTCTAACACCTATTGTCACTACTAATGAACCTATTGGTTTCTATTGAATACAGGGCTCTATTTATATCACCCTAGACATCTCACTCAGCCCCTGACTCACCGACTGCGAAGACGTGGGATTCTGGTCTTCCTGTAGTCGCGAAGAATCGACTGTTTTGTGTGAGGATTTGGGTTTAAACAGGTTGATGCCGGAAAGGGAAAGTGATCAATGTACCACGATAGTAAAGGTGTCAAATTAAATGATCACAAAAGAAAGCAATGACAGTACAATATGTATAATACAGGTTTCATGAACTTCACTTTTTATTTTGAATTTCAAAACTTTCGTGATAACACCAGAGATGAAGACTTTCTATATATATAATATACTAAAAAAAGAAATCTTTACATTTATAAATTTGAAGTGATATTATTTTGAGTTCTTTGGCCTTTTTGTGAAGCAAACATGGGTGTTAGAAGTTGTCTTTTTGCACTCGTAACCCTTATCATCTAATTGAAAATCCAAGAATTCCTCTCATGATCTCTTCCTTTCAGCGAACTGTCTGATACGTTGTTGGACTTTAACAATAGCAGAGACAATAAAGTAAGGTGAATTTCATGTGGTCATTGTTGACCCGAGTTTTAGTCTCCTGGACGGATTCCAATACCCAAAGTAGAAGCGCCAAGTCAGTATAATCTTAACTTGAGAGGGAAATTTCCCACTCCAACCGCGTTTGAATTATCTTATCAACATTGCTTACACATTGTGTTGACGTAACTTTACCAAGGTTAGCTGGCTGTTCGTCACTTGTCGTGTGAACCTGTCCTGATATGGGATGGGCAACCCTTGTCTCTCTCGTCAGGAGTAAGATTACACCAAGATATTGAATTTCTAGAACCAGCCAAACAACCTTCTTGAGATAGGGTGACACAAAATTACTTTTCTCCGTCAAGAACTTTATAGAAAAGAAGATCAAAGATATCGGCATAATTTGATTTCGCTAATTAACAGCCGATTCTACCTCAAAGAACAAACAACAAGCCACGTTGTTTGATAACAAGCCTTAAATAACTGACTGCAGGCAAATGATAGGATCACAAATCAGTGCAGTAATACCTAAGCCACGATAAATCTAGGGATTGCAGCGAAGAGTTTTGAGTTTTATGTATGCAACTATCATTAATTTAGCTGAAATTAAAGTCAGCTTTTCTCGTTTGAAAATTGTCAAAAACTTCTCTCAATGTTTTTTCGTTTGGTCAAGTTGTGCCAAGATGTTAGCAAAGCATGTCTACCAAAACCTCTCCTACAACTCAACAAATACTCGAAGATTAAAATAGTTCAGATAATTCAACTTAGACGACAGTTTAAAAATACTTTATTTGATGATCATTACGAGCGATAAACATGATATCTCTCGCTACACATGAAAAGAACATTTGCAAATATTAAATGCGCCTTGGATCAGAAACGACGATTTGCCTGTCATTACTGTGATCTAGAAACCTTGAGGTGAATTTGCCCTACATCAAGATAACTAATCCATTGATTCAGAGAAATATGGAGAAGGTATCCAAGAAAGGGAAATATGCCAAACATCAAAAATTAGGAAGAATTTTGGTATGCACTGTGTCCTTTCATTCGCTCCATGTTCGCTAAGATTGAATGTACCACCTTCTGCAAAAACACTGAAAAGAATTGAAGAGCAGACCGCCCCACTGAGGCAGATTTTTTTTACCTTCACATGTCTGGCATCAATATGTACCAGAAGATCTCCAAATAAAGTATGCAGACACTTTTGTGACATACGCGGGAACAATCCCTTTTTTAAACAGTTCAAACAACGGTGCCGCCCTTCTACCGAAAGGTTGAGAGGTCATTGTACTGAAGAGAGCTAAAACTGTACCTGAATTGAATGGCTTCCTTGTTCTTAGCGAACAATTGTTGAAACGCTGACCAGTGACCCGGCATTGAGACACAAAAAATGGCAAAATTGGGAGGGTTCGAGTAAAAAATAGATATTTTGTAAATGACTCCCAAATGAGGGCAGTTGGGGCGTCTAAGTAAAATTTTTACTCTAAATACGCAATTTTAAAGCGTTTAACATTACGATAAGTTTGCCACATTGAAAATCGTTCACAAGGATTTGCTCGTTTTACTTGGAAAACGTCTTCGTCACAAATCGTGAAATCGCATGTAACATAAGCGCCTGATTATCGCTGAAATTCTTTCATTGTCTCATTCCCACTGTGCCCGTCTCATTTTCCATTCTTTAATCTTTTCCTGTTTTCTTACATTTACATTCAATTCGTGTACAGGCAGTGGCCATGAGCGATCTCAGCGTTCAAACAAGGTGATCAAGCCAATGCTCTAAGCACGTACCTCTTATTAACTCCAATCGTTATCGTATTAAAGGATTATAATGGGAGCATAGCTTTGAAGATGCACAAAAGCACCATCTTAACTCCGCGGGTAAATGCTCAACACGCAAGAAATCATACCAAAAGCTAAGACGGTTACTAGACAATCGGCTGGATATAATATGAGATTTGTCAGAGAGAAACTCAAAAACTGTACACTTGTATTGCTGCTCTGTTTAGATCAGTAACTAAATCATTATAAAGTCGATTCCAACGGTTGAAATGGTCTGTGACTTTATAAGAGGTGAGAGTAAAAAGCAAAATATTCAAGACGAAGAGCCGGAGACTATTCATGGATGAAAAGGTGGTAGACAAGACAAAAACCTACTTACCCTCCCCTCTCTCACCACATAATCCGTTGCTATTTCTGGAGACTAAGCCGGTCTCCATTCTGACCTTTGAAATAGCTCTTAATTAACAGCCTCCAAATAAGGACCACTTATGCCAGCTCTAAAATATTCTGTGTCTACAGGTTGAACTAATTTGCCAGGGATGAAATGTTTTGTTTAGAGAACTGTGTTATCTTTACATTATTACCATGTTTAATTTGGGAAAAATTTCAACTTTGACATGGATGGTAAAATACGGATGTCTGAGGATTACAGTTATGACTAAGTTTATCATTTTATATTGAATGTTATTCATAATATAAAAATTTTATACAGAAGACTGTTGAGAGAAGGTTCCAGAAAGCGAAGAGGGATGGCTAATCCCCCATATCACGGACACCCTGTAACACGGACACCTCTATATTACGAGCAACTCTATTTCACATACATCTCGTTCTCTATTACGAATTCCCCTATAAAACGAACACTTCAATACTACGGACAACCCTGTATCACGGACACCTCTATATCACGAACAACTCTATTTCACATACATCTCGGTCTCTATAACGAATTCCCCTATAAAACGAACACCTCAATACTGCAGACACCCCTGTATCACGGACACCTCTATATTACGAACAACTCAATAAACGGAAACATTGTAAAACCTCTATATTGCTAAACTAGTGTATTCCAAACGTCTCTATATTTCATTTGAAGTACTGCACAATGTATCCCATACCCTGCCTGCTAAGCTATAAGTTCCAGATTGGTGTCATTAGGTTGGTATTTCTGCGTTGATCATGACCCTAGTCCCATCACAAGTGGCTTCAATAACAAAAATCCCAATAAGAGAACTTCATTAAAGTTATCGGCAATGTCAGTCGGATCAATAACGTTGATTTGAAATCATTTCACAAAACATATACTATTGTGTTTTGTTCAATTTGAATTCATAAAGAATACTAAGTTTTAAATAATTGCTGGGAAGCTCGGTGTTCAAAGATTTCAGCTAAGAAAATCATTTTGGCATTGACCTTGTGCAGGTTGTTATTGTGATCGAGAGTTATTAATCAGCTTCACCTTGGTCTCGATGCCAGAGAGGCCTACTAGATCTCACACAGGGTCTTTGAAGATGTTCTGAGAGTCCTTCAGTGCAATTCCCACGCAAATAATGATATTGTTTGACATTAGTCGAAGTAAAACGCAGAGTGGCATTCATAAGACCGTGAAACAAAGTGCAATAACTAAAGTATAGGTTACAGTACACATAAATGATAAAAAAATGTACATTAAGTTATATGAACAAGATATCTGTGTGTGGATTGAAAACTGCGAGTCGCCAGGTGAGACATTTGTTGCAATATTACCGTACTACACAGGGTGACCAACGAATTAGTTCGTAACTACACAGGGTGACCAACAAATCAGTTTGTAGCTACACATCGTTACACAGGGTGACCAAATCAAAGCTGACTTACCTGTGAAGTTGGAATCCCACAAACTTTGAACGTGTGTTGTCAAGAAAATTGTCAACATCCATCAATCTAATGAATAAATAAACCAAATTTTGTTTATTGAAACAAAATTCATATAAAGAATGGATAAATAATAAGCAAGTGAATGAACAATACAAATGAATGAAAAAAGGGATAAACAAATGAATAAATGAATGAATGAAAGAGAAAAATAATACACACAAATACAGTCAACTCTCGATTTACGGACACCCCGCTATAACGGACACCTCAATATTACGGACACGAAATACTGAATCCCCGGAGGAAAATACAAAGAAATGACTGAAAGTAACCCTCGTTACTAGGGACTCTCGCTACTGCGGACACTAAATTACGGTCCCAAGGGTGTCCGTAATAGCGAGAGTTGACTGTATGTTCATATGCATGGCCAAACGTACCTCACTTTAGGCGTAGGTCTAGGCCAGACATCCTCTTTAAACTTGTCTTCTTTAGAACCTTCACTACTATCACTGCTCTCATTGTCAATCAATACAGGTGGAGGAGTTTGTGGAATAATAACTCTCTGCTGTGCTGGAAGAACTGGCATTGGTGGACACTGTTCATTATAGGATGGAGGCAAACCACAGTCAATCCTTTTTTGTCTTTTGAGAGATTCTAAGTGTTCAAGACCACCAAGAGAGGTCTGGAAGTAAGAACATATTTTAAGTATTTGTAACTGACCTGGCATGTAAGGGTTGTGCTGCCTGTGCTCTGACAATATATAGAGAACAGACCCAGTTTTTGATGAGATAACCAGAATTAAACAAGTGTGACATTCAATTGAGTTTCTAACAAAAGCATTAAAATTTTATTCCATGAAACCAAAGATTTACTAATTTACAACACTTTTCTATCTTTTTATGACATACAAGTTGTCCTTCAGGGGCGTATCCAGGATTTTCAGGGGGGGTCCTTACATACCAAATTGCCACTATGACGTCATATGACGTCAATATGATGTCATATCAATCTATGTCTTTCTCGCTTTTTTGGCTTTGAAAGGGGGGGTCATGGGCACCCCGTGACCCCCCTGGATACACCCCTGTCCTTTGATCAAAGAGGTAGTTATTTATTGAAAACCAAGTTATATCATTACCTACCAGGACAGTTTTCCACAAAATCAACAGGACTTTTTTAATGGGAAAGTGAGGGTTATTTCCAGCACAAAACTTGAGGACCATCTCAAAGAGGATTACAGCCAAAGGATCTTTGTCAATGATGGGTTGATCTGTAAAAACATGATTTTATGACTTTAAGGCATAGTTGTTGTCTCTTCCCCCACTCCCTTCGTTTTTTTTCCACAGGGAACCCAAAGTTTATAAAAAATAGAGAAGTGGGATGCCTGTGGAGAAGGCTGACTGTTGGGAAGGGAAAAGCTTCCAAAGATAACTAATAAATGAACCATTTCATACTTAGTTCTTGCTTGAAGGTATTCTTGATCTCCTGTATCTCTTCTGTGTCTGTATTGTGAGGTACACGCATCCTCTCTATCATGGTGTACAGAATATTGATATATATCCTTGAAATAAAATAAAACAAAACAAATATAGTCATTTGGGTGAGTTGATATGTGATAATTATTCACAACTTTCAAAAATGGCATGATATGTCATGGTCACCGACCAGGGCACTGGGGTAGAAGCACTGAAATAAGGTCTCAAAGCCCAGTCTCCATATACATGTAGCAAACTTCGATCATGCCTTGCAAGAGTGTTTTGTTATAAATAACACACTAAAACATCATTCACTACATACAGGCGATCCTTTTAGTGATTTCTAGATGAAAGGCCTTTGAGATCTTGTTTCCACAATTCGACGTCACTAGTCCCCAACATAGGCGGATGTGCACTGGCGCCATTTTTGAAAATCGTGTATAGTATATGGTTATTGATAGAAGTGTATTGTCCATGTAATGGAAATATAGTGTATGAGTATACAGTTGTGCAGTGTTAATTGTAGTAGTATTACCAGTAGGTACTGTGGTGTGGTGTAGTATAGGATTGTGCTGTGCCATGTTTGATGGTGTGTGGCAAGCGCAATTGACTATAATAGTTGACAGTTTATTACATCAAAGGAGTACTAATCATCATAATTTATATTTCTGCTAATTACCTTAGATTACAGCTGTCTGCCATGGATATGGATGGTTTATGAAGTGCCATATCAGCAGCTTGTGTGTTGCTATAAACACAAAACATAATAGATATACATGATGGATTTAAATAAACTCTCTTTGATAACTGGGGAGCCTAAAGGGTCCCAAGACACTTAATTACTCTCAACATACGATTTTGAGAGAAAAATCTTGGTATTAATTTGCAATCCTGATAGTGGAACCATAAGAACCCCATAGACAAATATGTATAAAATGTTCACTACTCACTTTCAAAATGCTATACTGAAGAAAATACAATTCAATAAATTCATTATACCCCCAGTTTGTAAATAACAATTTGTTCTAGATGAAGAATGAAATATCTTGACTCACTCAGCCTCCATCTGTAGAAGTTGTGTAATGATATTAAAGCCCTCCAATTGGTAAATCATAACAACATTCTTGTTTGACTGGAAATAATAGACATAATGTTTCAGAAATACTCAAAGCATCTTGATTCAACTACAATTTTAAAATACCATTCATAATAATTAAATTGTTATTGATTGTCTAGCTAGACTGTTTTTTATATATGCATTTTAAAGCTGGTTTCATCAGATGTGCTGACATTCTTTAGAGCCCAAAATGTTTTAAAATATCTAGTAAATCAGGTAAGTCTACTTTAAATTCTAATTGGGTAAATTATCTATACTTTGCATACCCATGAAATCTGGTCTTCTTCAGTTGTTACTTCAGCAAAGTTTCCTGGAAAAAGAATGACACCATTGTTGTACTAACATTAACTTTATTATTCAAAGTAGAGTTTGTGCAAGTTATACATATTATACCCAAGGCACCGTCATGACAAGTGTTTTTTTTATGTTTCTGAACACACAGCATTGAAACAGTCATAATTTTGCATGTCTTCCATAAGCATCACTTTCCTCAATTATTAGGCTCAGTCTCCAGCCGTCGGGATTTCGTGCGTCCGCGATACTCTCTCCCCTGACGGCTGGGCGCATGGGGTTCGAAACGTGTCGCGCATGTCCGTGACGTTTTTGTGTAATTAGCATATTATGACGTAACGGAAGTGAATTTTTCAGTGAACGGAAGTGAAATATCTGACAACAGCCGTAAAGGTTTTGCTACAAGTTGGGAAATTGTGTGAAATGAAAACTTCGCGAAGTAGCGATATAATGTAATAGTTAGCGCTTTAAAAAAGAGAAAGGAATGGAAATTACCCCAAGTAAAACATGTGTAGGGTTTAATAATCCAAATGGATGTATTATCTGCCAGAAAAACGAGCAAAATACACTAGTGGCGCTATTTGAAAAATAAGAGATTTGCCCGAGCCAGTATAGGAAGAATAACAAGGACATCTTTTCCAAGAACAATCTCTTTAAGATCCTTTTGCTGTATTTCTCTAAATTCGTCCAAGCTAAACGACTTCAGAGCCTTCAAACAAGCACTTTCAAAGAGAATCTCAAATGACGAATTGTACGCCATTTTGTTACACTGCTGCCTGCTAATTTATTAATGATATGCCCCTGAAAATATCGGGGGCCACTCGCTGATTGGTCAAGACTGACAATAGCGAACCCCATGCGCCCAGCCGTCAGGGGAGAGAGTATCSCGGGMRCACGAAATCCCGACGGCTGGAGACTGAGCCTACTCAATTATGTGATAATGAGATTGGTGGGTTATTCAAAGCTTAGCCTGTGTACATCCGTTTCTCACTCTAACCCTTCCAAAAAAATTGTGAGAAACAGATGTACATACACAGACTATTCAAAGCTCTATTTACAGTAATCCTGGGTTACCTCTTCAAAAATCTATGGAGTTTTAATACCCTGGATTAATGGTAATTTTTGTCTTTGATTATCTCAGTCCTGGTGCCATATTTTTACATTACCTTGGACAAGATACAGAAGAATTCTGGCAGAGTTTGTTCTTGTATCGAGGTCAGCTGACTCTACTCGGTCCAGTATTTTACACACGTAAGACTGCTGTACCTTTGTACTGCTGTCCACCCATTTCTCAGCAACTATGACAAATTCATTATAAACATTACATCGAAAATAAATAAACTAATTCAGTTTACAGCATAGCATCCCTTATCATGGCTACCTAATAAATATATTTCATACCAATCGGAAAGCAACAATGACCTCTAGATACTTTTTCAAATAAACTTCAAAAGCTTCAAACTCAAGAATTTACCTGTTTGATAATAGTCAAACTCAAATGTATCTCTGTTAATCTGGAATTCACACTCCTCAGTATAGCTGTACAATTCTAAAACAAAACGAAATATGATCTATCAATACAATTGTGACAGCCTTTGATAATACAATGCAAATGCTTTCTGTACTGGGTGCGACTATTCGTGTACATGTATTTACATGTTTTCGTTAGCATATTGCAATCCAAGTCAGATGAATAATAACATGACCGTCGAAAAGCTTTGTTGTTATTGTTATAAAGAAGCATTCCTGTACTCACCGGATATTTCAGCGCTTAGTTTATCGGAGTCACCATAATCAAATTCGATGTCTGGGGTGTCAATTTGTCCCTAAGTCGACAAATATGTGCACTGTTAGTACCTAAATAAACTGAATTTAACATATGATAAGACATTACCTCTGATTCTCGTCTCTGACGGCGTAAAATATCCCTCAATTTAGGGATTCCTCGTTGTCGACGATCGTCATCCATCTTGTTTCTTGATCGTAAACCCAGTCTCTCTCGGTAAAGATTGAAATAGCACAGGTAGCCCAAATAGTTCTGAAAACTGAAATCAAGACAAAATGAGCAATGAACTTTTAATGACAGGATTTTTTTTTTTTTTTTTTTTTCAAAAAAATCCATTTATGATTTCTGGTAATACATTTATAATATATTAAAGTTTAGTATGGAAAATATATCAGTGATTGATTTGATGGCTGTCTTTGTACATTATTCCCGTTGTTGTCATTTTATTTTTACTAATATATCATCTTATAATATCCCTTGTAGAACATTCAATATTTTGAATATTTTAGATATATTTGTCAAAATATTTCTTCATAGACGTGTAGACTGAGCCCACAACTTTTCCGACCTTCATCCAGCGGTTTACAACACAACAGGTCGATTGAGTCAGGTGGGCTCAGTCAGTCGATATCACAGCTTGACTAGAATTACCTAAAAAAAGTCTTTTTTAACCGCTTCTTCGCTGTAGTATTGGCCAGTATAGAATCAAAGTATCTTGCAGTGAAAAATCTATTGTAAAGCTTGAATCGCAAGAATCGCAAACAAGGAATCAACGGAAAGGTAAGAACAATGATTGCAACATTTTATATCCACCATTTGGCGGTATCTTATTGCACAATGATTTTTTCCTTGTAGCGTAAGATTCACAACTTTTCCATTACTGTTAGCGCAAAATTGTATGAAGCTATGATCGCTTTCCGTTTGCATTGTTCAAACGAAACATTGAACAAAACATCGCATTAATACTTCTGTGTCTTTACTTTAACCAAACGACTGGATTGTTATTTGTGGTCACGCATTAACACGGGAATATCTTGTATGTTTTCTCAGACAACAGACTGGCTTTTATAACAAGCGGTTGCATCACCCATTATTGTCAATTCACAAAGTCCAACACAGCTGATATCAGCTGCAATATTTTTAATCTCTTCTTATAATGCTTATAAAGTAAATATTTAAATATGAAATCTGTAAAGCGTGATTCTGTTTTCCAAAACTATTCCACTCTAATAAAACTCTATTGTTGTGTTGCATGTGGTACAGAAGAAAATAATTATCATAATTATTAATAGTCTTAAAAATTCAATAGATTCAAACCGTTCACACCGCCATACACGCCTCCTTTTTACCGAACCACGTGACCTTAAAAACAAACCGGCTAAACAAGTCGCTTCTAACAAGCGATTTGATTGGTTAACGTATTTTCTTAGTTCCACACGAGCGCATTTCATTTTGTCGACTTCGTTTCTACACATGAAATATTTAGCTAACATTTTAGCTATTTAACTGACCATGCTTTGTGCTTGTCAGTTCATTAAACAGGCAGGTAAAAGAGGAATTCACACAGCTGTTAACAGAATGGCTCAATTGAAAATAGCAATTATTGGCCAGTCACAATTTGGCCTCGAAGTGTACAAGAAACTACGTCTCAAAGGACACGAAATTGTTGGTGTCTTTACAATTCCTGATGTAAACGGAAAGCCTGACATCTTGGCTTCAGGAGCAGAGGAAGATGGTGTTAAAGTTTATAAATTCCCTCGCTGGAGACTAAAGGGACAACCACTTGAAAATGTTTTCAATGAGTACAAGGAGTGCGGAGCTGAATTAAATGTTATGCCGTTCTGTAGTCAATTCATCCCGATGAATGTCATCGATTTCCCAAAACATGGCTCGATTATTTACCATCCTTCGTTGTTACCCAGACATCGGGGAGCTTCGGCGATCAATTGGTATGTATTTAGTTTTTAAAGGTTGTTAAAATCCTTTTGTTTAGATTCCATATAGTTGACCTTGTTTAGTGCGTGGTAACGAGCACCCTCAGAAAAATCCAATTCTAATGTCGTTGCAATCAATTTTTTATAGCGAATCTAATTATTTCTTTTTTATTACAAACATTTCATCGATTCAAGCACAATTTAGATTATTGATAAGTTAAACTTAACTACAATTAATGATATTTCTCAGTGATAATCGAAGCACATGTTGTGATCAAGTAGAGTTATGATCGTTTATAAACATGTAACTTCTTATATTGTTGCGTGATCGTTGGAGTATTAACTTATAAGCTGTACAAGGAAATAATTTAATACATGTAGTTAACTGTACTTAAATTCCTTTTTGTATAGTACTCTTAAATATAGCGTTTCCAAGGATATTTTGAAGAAAAATATCATAAAAATCGCACGCTTCGTGCTGATCAATATTCCAGAAAAACCAGAAAAGACAAAATACTTAAGAACCTGTTTAACCCGGTAGTGATTCTAAACAAACCCCTCGGGACACCGTTCACCTGTGGGTTAAACGATATAGTATTGCCTTAGTAATATCAAGGAGTTTTTCAAATGCGATCCCTTTAACGATCAAAGTTTATGAACACCTGATTTTCATGAACATGGAAATAAAACTAAAAACTTCACAATAATTTCAAGAACATGATTTTTATAGATTTTCAAGTTAATAGATTTGCTCAAATCATTCCATGTGTAGCTGGACAAAAATAAGCTCAGGACCTTCCACTGTTTCTATTAAAAGTCTGAATAAGTTCAAATTCAAGACACTGATTAAGAGCATCTCTCTCGAAATTTTAGAAAAAGCAGACGATTTTTTAGATATCGATCAGATTATTAACGAGCTAAAGGCTTCATACTGAGGAACACCTTTGTCATCATTTTATATTTATCCTAATATTTATTGAATAATTTCCTAATATACGTACTCAAACTGTGACTGATTTTTGACATTTTTATACTAGTTATTCTCCTTCATTATCGCCCTCGCCTCGAATAGTCTTGGACTAACTGCGAGGGTAAACTTCACATGTAACTATAAGGATGATTCATAAATAAAACTGTTGTTGTATTACATAGCATTTAGATATTTAAAAAATAGGCATTTCATTGAGATATAAATATTTTTTCTTCACTTTTACTTCAGGACTCTAATGGAAGGTGACAAAAAGGGCGGATTTACAGTATTTTGGGCTGACGATGGTCTGGATACTGGACCAATCTTGCTACAAAAGAGTGTTGATGTTGATCGTAATGATACTGTCGATACTCTTTACAATAGATTCCTGTATCCTGAGGGAATTAAAGGAATGGTAAGAATGATGTCTAACACTGTTTTATTGAAAAATGGAAAAGTGAAGGAATGGATAGAAGGATAAATAGCATATTAAATGACAAATTGATAAATGAAAGGATGGGAAAATGAATGGGAAAATGGATGGTTTAGAGAAATGAATGAGTAAAAAGATAGTCTTGATTAGATAGATGAATGAATCGATAAACTGAATAGTTCTTTAGTGGTACCATAATATTGATAGGTTGAAGCAGTAGAGATGATTGCAAAAGGTACAGCTCCGCGTATCGTCCAACCTGAGGAGGGTGCAACATATGACAAAATATGGAAAAAGAAAGATGTTGCAAAGGTTGGTATATGTACATCTTCTTGATATTCAAACAATCTCTGAAAGTGTATCTAATACAACTGTTAAAATTCATGCCAACTAAAAATGAATACAGTGATCTTTATTCTTTTAAAATGTAACATACAGTCACCATCATATTGTGTTTATAGATCAACTGGGGACTAACAGCAAAGGGACTGCATAACTTTATACGTGGTAATGATAAACTGCCTGGAGCTTGGGCGACTATTAATGGAGAGGTAATGTCTAGATATAAAAGACTTGTAAAGCTGTCCTTTGTAAATGAATTATGATGTACGGTAGGTGTCCATAATTTTATCGCTTTTTATCTCTAGCAAGTAACATTCTTTGGTTCATCACTTGGGCCAAGAAAGAGAGTTCCAACTGGTGAGGAGTATTACATTGATGGCAAAGAGAAACCTGCCATAGTTCACAAAGATGGTATGACTTTGTTTGGTTCAGATGGAAAAATGGTAAGAAAAATGAATTCATGAATGAAATGACAAAAATATCCACAATGAAAACAAAAAGAAAAAATGATAATATTAATTGTTTCTTGATGCTAGGATCTATGAAATTGTCTCTCTTGATTTATGTATACCACATGATAATGACGATGAATAATCAGTGATTCTAGCTATTTTAATTGGGTACTTTCTAGGTTACTGTCAAAACACTCCAGCTTGCTGATGGCAGAATGGTATCTGCATCTAAATACGGACAAGAGGAAGAAGAAGTAGCTGCTTTAGAGCTCACCGATGATGAAAAAGAAATCCAAGAAAAATTGAAGGTAGCAGATCAACATATGTCCCTACTGTTAATGTGTGATTTGCTGCCATTTCATTTGTTGCATTTTAATACCTTAAATTTGTTGTGTGTTTAGACAATATGGGAAGGCATTCTATCTAATCCAGATATCAATGAAGAGACTGACTTTTTCAAGGCTGGAGCAGGGTCTATGGATGTTGCAAGGTGTGTTTGACAGTTATACCATTTCATGTTCACTTGAAGAATATATATAGACAGACGACAATTTTAGGAGCTTTTTCTGTGGTTATTAAATCAATTATTGATATTATGAATTAATATTAATGTTCTTTACTTCAGACTTGTCGAAGAAATTAAGCAGAAATGTCATGTTGTTTTAGAAGCAGAAGAAGTTTACTTGAACACTGGGTATGTCCAGAACTTTTTGAATTATTGATTTCATGACTTTATTTTAAAACAAGTATTTTAAATGAGCATTAGCTTACAAACTGTTAATGGATTGGTAGATTTGCTGCATTCTCAAGATTGACAATTTTGAGATCAAGAGGAGAAGGAAAGGAGGAATTCACTTGTAAAACTGTAAGTGCTATTTCTCATTTTAGAAATAAATTTCCATGATTTTGAATATAAACATATTATCCATCTGAACTTATCAGATTATTACTTGACTAAAAATAAAATGTCTCTTTTGTAATTGCTTTTTCTTGTTAGCTTGACGTTGATGTAAATGACATGACAATTCACATGCCATATCAGCTATTCATTGATGGCGAGTTTGTGGACGCCATTCATGGGAAGACATTTGATGCTATAAATCCAAGTGATGGATCGGTATGTGTTATGGTTTATAATTAATCATTGATTTTTTATCTGTGTATTTATTCATTCGTTCATTTTTTATATTTATTACTTATTCAATATCATTTTACTTTTCCTTCTTCATTCATTTATTGAATTTTTATTTGATAGGTTTTAGCAAAAGTTTGTCTTTCTTCTAAAGAAGATGTGGACAAAGCTGTTGAAGCAGCACGCGTAAGTCAACTATCTAATTTCTACTCTTAATGTGGTATAAATTCTCCCTCAAGCTTGTTTACATGTTCACATGATGTTTACATTGTATTTATTTTCCAGGTTGCATTTGAAGAAGGCCCTTGGGGTACTATGAATGCAAGAGACAGAGGAAAGCTTATGAGCAGGTAGGTATATTCTGGAACAACTGATCCAGTGTACATGTACTATTCTAGAATACCTGATCAAATGCATAACTAGTCAAATCAAACACTAGATTTTTATGTAAAATTGATGGCAACAATTCAAACACTTCGGTATGCAGTATATGTAAGAACTAGACCCTGTAGGCAGGGTTTACACGTGCCCTTTTTTTTTGTACGTGATATTGTAATATTCAATAGTATTGAGGCCAATTCATCATGACTCATTCATGTAATTTTATGAGTTGTTTTTGCGAGTTACATCTTAACCAGGGTTCGTACAGATTTTTACATATAAAATTCAAGGACTTTTTAAGGATTAATTTTCAGTTTTCAAGGACACCAATTACAAAGAGAAAGATACAGTTAATAAACTTACTAGTCCTGTGTCTTACCAAACAGAAAAATAAAAACATTGTAGTTTAAGAACTTTTAAATCTCTTGGAACATATTTTTCTCAATCTCTATTTTAATATTTTAATTAAAATTTCTTTTCCGCCGTATTGCACAATAGTACAACAGACATTGCCAAAAGGATTGAAATATTATCAATTTGCTTCAAAGCTTGGCAAAATTGATTTCTAAAACATTACTTCACAACAACCAAGACTGATTCAAGGACTAAATTTACATGAAACTTCACCAAATCATTGTAAAGATGAAATATTCAAGAAACCAAGTTTATTTTTCAAGAGATATTATTCAAAGCCGGCACAAAAACTGATGTACAACTGCACTCAGAGCCATTTATTTAGCATGTAACATTGGCTA